ATAAATATTTATTTTTTTAATATTTTTATAAAAATAAAAAAACTTATTATATTTATTTAATAAATATTTACTTATATATATTATAATTTATAAGCCTTTTAATCCTTAAATTACGAAACATAATATATATTCATCATACACTATATTTATACAGTATACTTTTCAATACATTAATTGAATTGGCGGGTTGGCGGATTTGTCCTTATGGTCCGCCGTCGGGAATTTAAGAACGTAGATGTGGAAGTGACAAGCATAGGAGGAAAAAGGACAGGAAAGAAAGAGTCATTATGTTACGGGTTGACGTAGTTAAGCTTAAATCTTAGTCTCCACTTTATTATGCAAAATATGCCATCTGAGTGGCGCGTCATGGCTTGCGGACCTGAATGCGCGTCTCCTACCCGAGTAATCCTTCCGAGGTCCCTTTTCCTATTACTAAATTCGGTCTCCAACATCATCTTCTATCCTATCGGGTCCGAAAATCCCTCTCACCATCTCACGGGTCGGTCGAATCTCGGTTTGGCTGAACGTCGGTGATTCTTGCTTTCCCGATCATGAACTTGGGAACACCTCCGTTACTTGTTCGCCGGACTGTTGCACTCCACCGTTCCCGGGTCTGAGAGCTGCAGTGCCTAGACCCGTCCGCACTGTCCCGGACGAGGATGTCCTCACCCCGTTTCCAACCCTCTTCGCCGATTCATGGCACCGGCGGGCGGAAGTCCCAATTTACATATAGGCAGTTAGGTTTATTGACCTCTTATTCAACATCGTCTCCTCTACGCGTCATCGCCCATGTCGATTTAGATGCTTTTTACGCTCAAGTGGAAATGGTGCGCCTCGGCACTCCTGAAGATCAGCCCCTAGCTGTCCAACAGTGGTATGTACATATTCTTCTATCGTGTATCTTGTTATGATTAACTTACAAAATCACAGGCAAGGACTGATTGCTGTGAACTATCCCGCACGCGACTTCGGCATTGGTCGGCACTGCACTGTGACTGATGCAAAGAAGCTCTGCCCAAAGCTCATCGCACAGCATGTCGCTACCTGGAAGGAGGGCGACGAGAAATGGGCGTATCATGACGATGCAGCGTCTCACATCGGCACCCACAAAGTTTCACTGGATCCTTACAGACTTCAATCACGAAAAATTCTCGCATTGATCAAGGAGATCTTACCACCCAACTTGCAGCGAGTCGAGAAGGCAAGCATAGACGAGGTCTTTCTCGACCTATCCGCACATATTCACTCCATCCTTCTGCAGAGATTTCCGGAGCTTACGAATCCTCCTCCTTATGATGACCCTACGGAGAAGTTACCTCTCCCGCCGATAACTGCCCTGGACTGGCAAGCGGACGCGCTCATTGATTTTGAGGATGCAGAGGCAGAGACAGATGATCCGGATTGGGACGATGTGGCCATTCTTATTGGGTCAGAGATTGTTCGAGATATACGAGCTCATATCCGCCGAGCACTAGGATACACATGTTCGGCGGGCATAGCGGGCAATAAAATGCTCAGTAAGTTGGGCTCTGGGTACAAGAAACCCAACCAGCAGACTGTCATACGGAATCGGGCTGTGCAACATTTCTTATCTGACATGAAATTTACTAAGATTCGTAACCTGGGAGGCAAGCTTGGCGATCAGGTCGTGTCAAACTTCAATACGGAGACAATTAAGGATCTACTATTCGTACCAGTGGAACAGATGAAACTCAAGTTGGGCGACGATACCGGAGTCTGGCTTTACAATACGATCCGCGGAATTGATCCTAGCGAGGTCAATTCACGTACGCAGATCAAGTCCATGTTATCTGCTAAATCCTTTAGACCCAGCATAAATAACCAGGAGCAAGGTATCAAGTGGCTGCGAATCTTTGCCGCAGATATATTTTCGCGATTGGTGGAAGAGGGTGTTCTCGAAAACAAGAGAAGGCCGAAGACTATCAACTTACATCACCGAGGCCAGGGGGGCCAGACCCGCTCACGGCAGAGTAGCATTCCGCAAGGGAGAACGCTCGACGAGGCAACCTTATTTGAACTTGCCAAGATCCTGTTCAGCCAAATTATCCAAGAAGGTAGCGTCTGGCCATGTACAAACCTAAGCTTAAGCGTAGGAGGGTTTGAGGACGGGGTGACTGGCAATTTAGGAATAGGCGCTTTCTTGCTGAAGGGAGAAGAAGCTCGAGAATTAAGAGGAACCAGTCGGGAGCCTTCGGCAGGGTTATCTACGCATGAACGACCGGAGAAGAGACGACGGGTGGATAATCCCGGCATCCAGCGATTCTTTCCCAAGAAGGAGAGTTCCTCGGGTGGAGACGCTGAGGAGAATCTCGACGACGACGACGTAGTAGATATGGGTAAACCCCAGATTTGGACTAAGGAGGCGTCGCCGAACCGAACAGGAAATGGCCCGAAACCAATCATCGACGACCATATCAAGGTATGTACGCGCTGCGACGCAAGGCTCGACGACGCCGAGGCCCTCCAAAGCCATCTCGATTGGCACTTCGCCAAAGACCTTCAGGACGAAGAACGTGGCAAGCGGACATTTGCCAACAATCACTCCACGGTATCACGCGGTCAGAAGACCGCTGCTGCATCATCGTCTTCGTCTAAGAAGCCCGGGAGAGCTAGTGCCTCTAATAGTAAGCTCGAACATGGGCAGAGCAAATTGAAGTTCGGATGAATCGATACCTGGCATGCAACTCAAACTCGAAGCGAACGCTACATGCGCCCTGGTGGACTCTGTCTTATCCATTTGTCCAGATGAAATGCTATACCTCTTCATCTACGGCATCTAACAGACACGAACTCATCCCCCTAGCATTAAAGTGCACCTCGAAAAAAGCAGGTCCACCCCCACATGCACATTCCCTATGTCTTAAGTTAGGTGATATGATACTAAGGCACCTGTGGGATTTAGCCCCTGAGCATTGATGACTTGTGCCGATAGTTTATGTTGAGTGCAGCGAAGAGATGTTCAGACGTTCACTCGCTCGGCACGGAACCGAAAGATCCCCTCTAGTCCAACAGAAATGTCGGTCTGCGCGACCCACTGTGCAAGGCACAAACAACGATAGCGCGACGGTGGTCCGGATGGAATTAATGGGTTGCTCGCGGACTCGCACTGACGACTTCGAATCTCTAAAGTCGCTCAAGCTTTGGATGCATAAGCCGGGAAACGTGTACATTCGTGATCCGGATTCGGCGGAACAGGCCATCGGTATCACGAGCACTGTGGCGGCGATACCCTACCGGCGAGTTCCCTTAAGGATCACATGCGGCAAAAGGGGGACTACTACGTAGGAATAAATCTTAGGAGGCTCTACGGGCAAGAGGTGTGTGATGGCGCGCAATGGGTAGTAGGAATGGCTAGGTGCGAGAAAAAGAGAAATTGAATTACATGCCGCCACCCGCATTGCAGTTTGACAGGTACGAAAGACGTAGAGAAAAGGTTCGATATGAAGCGAATGATGTCGCAAGGCAACATGACGGTAGACATCTACTTGTCTTTTTCACCTCACTAAATAAGTATTTGCCATTGTCATCATGTTACAGGAATGGGACGGAGGTCGAAAATGATTGGCTAACCTAGCCTTCAGGCATCCATTACGCTACTACTTCTTTGGGCTCAGGTGCATAGAGTATGTATTGATACCCAACGGCGAGAACGCATTTCCAGTTTTTTTTCGACGAGCCTGCTTTTTATCGCCCATTTTTCCTACTGTGTGCCACGTCTTTTGCCCATGGTGGACAAATGCCTAATCGCTTCAAGCGGGATGAGTACATTTCGAGTGGCGGGACCCATCTCGACTTATCTAGCCACTGAGGATGAAGGCGCTCGTGATTACAGTCCGGTCACAACCCTGAACAACGGTACCGGCCTAGTCAAGAGATGATGTTGATACTCATCAAAAACAAAAAGCATATCTGTACATACATAATACGATATCTTTTTTTCATTTGGGAGAGATGTTCGGTCGGTAGGGTGTCAATCGGAACCATGAAGGGATGGAACAAGGCAATTTAGGATATTACTCCTTCGAGTGGGATGGGATGAGATGGGATAGAATACTCCCGTAATCTAGAGGAGGAGCGCGTGCTTGTATAATAGGAAGTCTAGAGACCGCGTTCTCTGCCCTGTGGGAGATTTCTAAGAAAATTCTTGGTCTTCTTTTGGACGAATTCCCAGAGGCAAAACGAACGAAACGGTGTGAAAGGAAGTTTCCTCGAATTTCATGAGCCAAAGCAGCCCAATCCGTAACAGGCTACCGAACGAACGAAAAATTTTGCTCCACCGACAGCTTTAAGTAGTCAGAACTGCAACACAAGTTTCTTTCTCGGTTAGATCCTCGAAAGCAGCATTTGCTTTTCCTTCTTTTCTCCGTCCTAAGAATCCCAGGAATTTTTGTGTCGGTCAACATCAAATTTTAAAGCTACGAGGGGGAAAAGTTATCGATTATATGTACGGATTATTGACCGATCGTCACGAAGAGTTGCATCGAAGAAGCGGTGCGCGTGTTTGCTGCCACTTGATGCGAGACATACGGGCACCAGCCATTCATCCTTCCCATATCCGGAAATCCTAGGGCCAGGTTGTTCACTCTATCGGTCTATCATCAGCCACATTCGTCAAGGTCACCCCTGGTACATACACCAATTCTAGTCTAGAAATCTGAATTCGATTAGGGGATTTGGATTTGGATAACGATAGCGACGCTTGCTGCGTCTGATTCCAAAAGCCCTTCTTTACCCCTCCTCCGTTGCAACGAGATAGATCATTCCCAGCTTTCTGGACCGGTCGTTCTGCGCGTCAACCACCTAGGCATCGTCGGGGGTTCATCTCTACCTCTCCCGCTTCCCAACAGGTCGCCAGCAAGCCACCAGCAGCCCTAGTCAGCCCGAGTGAGTCAATCTCACTGTTGCATCTCGAACGACGGTGGGCTGTAAGCTTTGCGCTACACTACCTGCATAGGTACTGGCACTTACTGGCATAGTGGTATAGTGGTACGTATAGTGTCATAGTGTACTCGCATAGTGCACACATAGTGCACTATACTACGCTGCCTGATACCTAACGCTGCCTATTCCATCCTATCCCTTGGTCGCGACTTAGACCTAGACTGGGCTGTCGCCTCTGTGAAACTATTCGATCTGCCTTGCTATTTGCTATTTGCTTTCTAAATAAGACTCATCACTACCAGTACTTTAATAACCATTAATATTATTACTCCTGCTATTAGCATCCTTTCAATAAGGCTCTGGTTCCCTCTCGGCCAACCAAACCCTCCCACGCGCCTCTTGACACAGTGACACTAGGTGCTCCACCGTGTCCGCGCACAGGACCAACTCATTGGTCTTGCTGCCTCGTCACCGCACCCGGGAAAGACATATCCTAAACTCTCTCAGCTGACAGACATCGGCTTCTTAATCCGCCTATTTCTTCCTGTCCTTTCTGGTCTGTTCTGTCCGCCGTCTCTGCTGATTCTGCTGCTGCTGTTTTTTCGATCTTGTTGTTCCCAACAACGGCAAGTTGGATCCCGGCGCCCTTCGGTGCTACAGTACAGTTCCATCGCCAAGCACACCGTACAGCGTATTACATACATACATTCATACCTACCATACATACATACCTACATTAACATTATCCTCTCAAGGTCTTCAAGGTTCAGCTGTTTGTGATCCTGCAAGCCTTGTAGGTCAACTATCGCCACCGATTAGGGATTGGTTAGGGATTGGACTCCACGCCACGCCATCATCCCTGTCCGGGCTCGAGTTGGTGTCGCCATTGTGCCTTGTCACTTCCCACTTTCCCCTAATAGGCCCCTCCTTTCCCTCCTTTCGCCTGCAGTACTATACTTGGGTACATACCTACATTGGATACATTGGATAGGTACCTAGGTACTTGCATAATAAGGACTTTTTTTGTGCCGCGGGTCCTCTCCGACCACTCGACCATTCGTCGTCCACTCGTCTACTCGTCCACTGTTCTTTCCAGACCCACCAGCAAAACTGTCTGCCGCCCTTTTCTCCTCCCCACCACCCACACTTTACTCCTCTTCATCTTCTCTCGACTATTTCGCTCTTCTGTTGTTTCTTCCTCTTCCCACGTTTTTCTATCCTCGTCCTACCGTCGACTTCTTTCTCCCTTTTCCACCTAATAATCGTCGACCGGTAATTCCCTTTATTCCTCGGCCAAAATGTCTAGACGTCCTGCACCAGCGAGCAACAACCTGCCTCCTCAAAACCGCCAGAATGAGTATTTCGTGCCAAGGGACGGTATAGACCGCGAGGTCATTACTGCCGACATCTGTCGCTACCTTGGAAACGATGCTCTCGTCCGACCTGGCACGTACGAGGTATGATTCTTGCAATCTATTAGTTTTGTCAAGATTCAATGTTGACATCTGTCTGCGGTTTAGAACCCCCAAAGTGGTCAGATCATTCAGGGCTACTATATCAATGCCTACCGAAATTTAACAACAGTGAGTTCTCACCGCTCGATCGACGACTTCCTCGTATATTATGGCTATGACTAACATGCTTCCGCGCCATTGTAGGCTATGATCGAAGACTTGAAAGCAGACTCGGCGCGATGGGATCAAGAAAGGCGGCAACAATCGGCGAGCCGTAATAACGCTGCCGGAGGTACTATTGCCTCGAGAGACTCGAACGGCGTATATGTCAGACTCTCTAACTCCCCTATAGTCCAGTACCGCAATTCGGACACGCATCAGTCCCGTCAATATTATGGTCCGACTGAAGGCGGATTCGCATCGGCAGACCCAAGCCGCGATCCGTACGGTGATTCTACTCCCAGATATCCAGGAACTGGCTCTGCAGGATACACGGGAGCCGCTGGCTCGTATACTGCTCAGCCGTACCCTCAGGGTGGGTATAGCACTCAGCAGGGGTATACTACCCAGTCGCAATTCCAAGCCCCAGGTGCAAGTGTGACTTACCCCTCTATGCCTCCGTCAGGATTTGGCCAGGCCGGCCAGGAACCTCCTTTCCAGCTAGTTGGAGCAGACTCGAGAGTGGCAACCAACCCACAAGCTATGTACAATGACCCGTACGCGGCCCAGAGAGATCCTAGGGACCAGAGGACACCTATTACCACAATGCCACCTAGTAGGACTACTTACCCGACCTCAGGAGCACCCGCGCCGCAGGGCTATCCCCCGTCGTCCGCAGCGCCTGGTAGCTATTACCCTCCGAACCCATCACCATCAAACCCTGCCTATGCGCCAACCGTTCAGCCTGGAGATCCATTTTATGGACGCGGTGCGTACACCACAGGTCTTTAATTATTACCTCCCAATTCCCTTTTTCTGATTGTTTAGCGTCTCCAGCAGGCACAACGTCCTACGGTTCAGCACAAGATCCACAGTATGAGACAGCCCCTGCCCCAAATCGCCCTTCAGCAGCAGCCAGTACTCAATCATCAACTAGTGGATCAGTTTCAGCCTCGCGACATCGTGACAGGGATAGCGTCGATCGCCATACCGAGTCCAGGCACGCCCACCGGTCTCATCGCTCAGGTCGATAATTAAACCGCTGGAGTGTGTGCTACGGGCCTTCTTCCCGTCCTGCATGTGATACTTCATTGATTAATTGTTTCATTGCCGAGATTCCCAGGATTTGGAGTCCCAACACCGCATCGTGGTCTTTTTCCGGAGCTTTTGCCATGCAAAAACAAAAACAGGATAGACCGGGATTTGAATTTTGCAGACCTTGAGTTGTCTTGCACAGTTGCAAAGTTTGCAACTTTTGAAATAATGTTGTTACCCGATACCTCTTGAGAACCTGGATCAACCATCATCATCATTCCCACTTACAGGACGGCTTTTTACTACGAATACTGCTCACCGCATATGAATCATCATCTTTCCCTGGGGCCAGAATGGATAACGGCGTACTATGACGGGGATTTCGTTACGACTTGCATATGGGTGGGCCTCAATTGACTGAACGACGACCATTGTTTCTGCTATGCCTTTGTACGGAGTTGGCTCTTTGCCACACATTTTATACCACGCTTAATGCCGGCGGGGAAAAGAAGTTCTCTTTTTATTTGGTTAGTATTTCTATCTACGGATCAAGACTCCTGCCAACTTGCTGTCCGGATCCAGCCAACGGAGGCTATGATTTTATTTTCCCCTGGTTTTTGCGAACTCCATGGCCAAGTTCGCGGATGTGCATTATGGTGAGATGCTGGAATGATTTTACTAATAGATAGGGCTCGAGATCCGGACAGCAAGGTGAGCACTGGACGGATTGTATATATATGCCAACCATTCCTGCGAAGGATATTTCCAAGATTTTTCAATATTTTAGCCTGGTATCTCCTTTTGGATTCAATTCACCCACTGTGCATGTACTACTAACAAGACAGGTTCTCCGGGACAGGAAATCCAGCATCGGTTCCAGGATTACAGCCCAGGGATATATTACCAAGGACACTGGTTGGAACACATCCGTCAGGATTCTGTGGATTTATCAACAAAACTCCTTGTGGATTTGACTTCGCTGGAAACAATCTTCCACCTGGACAGCTTCCTGGAACTCAGTCCTCTGGACAAGTGGCATGCCAGCCTTGGACCATTAAGCCTGAACAAGGCTAGAAAGAAGAAAACCTAGTCATTGAAAGATCGCTTCCTGACATAGGTAAGAACCCCTTCCCATGACATATCTCAGGGTTATCCATCACCCATTCATTCAATTTCCCCGTGATTTGATACCCCCAGATATGGCCCAATCTGGAGCAGTGCGCTGATGCCATTACCTGGCAATCAATGGTGAGTACACAACCGCTCGAACCCACTGACGATGGAACCTATTCTACTTCCACCCAAGGAGTACCATGGGTTCATAGAACACATACCAGGATTCATGAGGCCAATCGTGACACTACGGGCTGGACAATGATTCTATTGCCACAATGTCTACCGGAGCAGCGTCAATGCGGAAATATGTTCAAAGTGCTCTAACCGGAGATAGGAACAATCCATGGATATGTGGACCAAAGGAATACTTTTCAGGAGTACCTGATTATCTCAGTGGACTATTCAACAGATTTCTTTCTGGATACTAAGATGCGGATGAACAACTAGTTTCCTTAATGGACTATCAACCTTCGGGATTACCAGCCTGGCAAATGAAAATCTCATTGTGCCTATCAATATTGAGCGAGGATCCGATACATTTCCAGTCAGTTACAGTTGAGCTTTGTGTTCCTGGACGTTCTGAATTCTGCTACCAACTGTGCTTGTCTTACTTCCATGGTTATCCTCGGACTCCCGGACTTGCCTTACTTTCGCTACCTACCAGGAGAGGATCTAGAGAATGGAGGGTGTACTTGCTTTGATTGACGCTGGAGCTTGTCGATAGCGGTCGGTGCGTGTCTAGCATGTGGATATGTGGATGACAGAGAGTGCGAGTGTGGGTCTGCATTAATCTGGACATGGACAGAGGGAAACAAAAATCACGATGACTAGTGTTATAATGGTGTGAAATGACCAGACGCATAATGCCTGGCTAGGTGTTCCACCCAAAGACCGAAGGATTTCCGGATGTTTAGTGTCTATTTCCATCTCATCTTATTTCATATTGTTCTTTTTCATTTCATGTACATCTACGGCTATACGAACCCGCACTGGAACTTAACTTTATTTGGACCGACCTGCCACTTCGGGTTGGGCCGAGTTGGGCTGCTTGGGTCTTGGGCATTAGGTGTGTGGGGACGGTGTGGGTGCCAGGGGTCTGTGTATGGGGTCGTCTTGGCTGTATGGAGATGGGGTCAGGGGAAGTTGGGCGGGTTTGGGTTATGAGGATTTACGATGGGGTTGGTAGGATAGGGTGTTACTTGGGGACGAATACATTGCTGGTGATGGTTGTGTCGACATCTGTATGTGTGCGCTTTGGCTTGTGGATGTGATTGTGATTGTTGGATGTTTGGTTCGTGTTACTTGTGTGCTATGTGATTGTATGGCTTGCTGATTTGGTGGTATATCGGTTTATTGAGCTATTGATTTATCGAAAAGTTGGGAGTGGTGGTGTCGTATGCCCCTTAATTATGACTTATACAGGCAAGTTTGTCGCTAATGTTGTGATGTGATGTGGCCGTGGCATAGGGTTGCTCGTCTAAACGTCTCATCTTAAGTCTACCTATTTTGTGAGGACGTACCTATGTTAGGTAAATCATATAGTCTGTTCGCAAAAAGGACTGGCCGTGTAGTATAAGGGGTAGTTATAGCAGAAGGAATGGAACAACACGGGTTGGAAGGTCGGTTTTTTTGCTTTAGTGGAAGAATGTTTTAGGGGTTTCTATTCTTGTTGTGGTTACTTCAAGGAGGGCCGCTACCTAGACATTGAAGCTATATTGATTGATCCTTTGGGGATCTCAAAAAAGGGATGAGGGGACATATCGTGTGTCTACAAAACACCGATCCAACTTAGTGGTTTCAATCGCGTAGACGTCCTCATTTTGAAAATGCACGATATATCGAAACTTCATTAGAACCCATTCAATTGATTGAAAGTAGGTTGATACTGCAAATTAAGCCTATTGACTCTCCTGACTGGTGACCTGCCACAGACACCAGAACACTGACCTAACAGGCAATAAAGCTGTACCATAATTCTCACACCGCAGCCTCACCACAATACATGAAAGCTTCAAGTCGTGTAAACAACCATATTACGTCGGATACCACCCCGATCTCTACCCACGATGACTAAATACAACAAATACACCACAGCGAAGAATTATGTAATCTTCGCCTGGAAATACCTAATCAGTCATCTCCCATCCGCTCCCCTAGCCGTGAGGCTCTGCTATACCCGGCGTGGGGGTCCTCCCAAAAGTTCCTACCCGGCAGGCGAGCGACTACCTCCCAGCGGCGCTAGGGAGGCAGGCCACAGCCTGACTCACGCGGAGCCGCAATATGTACCTACCCTTTTACCTACTACCCACACACTTACCTACCTAATGCGTGCTGCGTAGCACTAACAACGCGGCCGGCAAGGCAGGCGCATTGGGTCATACCTCATGCACGCTTAAACTACGTACCTATGCATGCGTGTGAGTATGTATGTGCATATGTATGTAGGTTAGTAAATAGGCGGAAGCATCTGCGCATTCTAGATGCCGAGAGACCGGCCCTACGGCTGCTTACTGCGTGCGTAGCCGCATACCGAGGTGGTGGCTCTTGGGTCGCTGGGGAAAACTTTTCTGGTAAAATATTAGGTAGGAGGCAGGTTGGGAAAGAGATGGGTGTTACTGCTGCTGAGACGGAGGTTGCACTGCCCGGCTGCGAGGTCACTCTGGTATTACGACCTGAGGGAGCGGTGAAGATGATGGTGATGATGATGTCCTGGGCTTGGTGGGCTTGGTGGGTTAGGTGCTTTTTTGCGATGGAGGATACGGCCCGAGATGAGGGAGTTAGGGCTCGGTTTTGATGTTTGGAAGCCGATTTCTGTTTTGGGCTTGGTGGTTGTGGCGAGGTGGCTTGGGTTCGGGTTCAGGTTCCGAAGCGTGGTTTGCGTGGAGGCTGTGCTGTTGGGTGGCTTGGGGGTGCTGGATGAGCTGGTATGAAGTCGAGGAAGTGGGATATCGGTCACGTTGATGTTGGTCCGAGGATGGTGTTGTTTCGGTGTGTTTGGATATGGGTATACCGGTGCTGTTAGGGGTTGCTATGGTAGGAGTCTCAAGACGGCCATGAGAGATAGGTCTCGATATTGACCTGGGTTTATATAAAGGGGAACGTTGCTCTTCCGTTTAGAGTTTGATAGGACTCAAGTTCGATACATCCATTCCCATGGAGTGGTTCTCTTAACATGCTGCCCCTGCGTACGATGATAGATCACAATGTCAGCCGTGGGCTCATTTAGAGAATAAGGTAACGTACACAAGCTGCTCTCTTAGACCAAAGGCTGTCATCTGAGGTCCATCTGAGTACCTAGGTAGGTAGTCAATGTAGATTAAGGGGGTATCTCCGCGATAGCTCTTCTTAACTCCTAGGTACCTACCTACCTATCTGATCGGGATGTAAGTCGATGCCATGGTGTCTTTGTAGAGATTGTGTAATATTCTCTGTGTCGTTACTTCGTAAGAAAAGGTAATATAAACATCAACGACGGATAGACCTCTGGGATAGTGCTGGGATGGTAGTACCAATAGACCGGTTTGAGATCGAAGCTCAGATATGCTGTGGTGTTGATCGTAGCCATTAGCTGACTATCCGTCCACAGACGCGGGATAGATACGTCGGACATAATGAACGGTAAGGGCGTTATTGATGTATATGTATCTAATAGCTATTCCTGTGACAGGACACCGAACTATAGAATGTTGAGGTGAGTATACTCGGCCCCCTGTATTGATAGTGATGGATAGTGACCTCCTTGGAGAGGTACCTCGGACACCCTAACCCTTTATGTAACTCTCATTCAAGGAAACAAGTTTGAATGGACATATAGGTCGATATCCTGGACATAGTAATGTACCCCTACCCCGAAGATAATAATTGATCACACTTGGACCTTATCAGAAGCCATCAAGTTCGCCCGGGTGTGATACAATTTGATTCGTAGGTACGATGCAGCTATCTATCGGGGATCTGGAATCTAAGACTTACCTATTGAATCTTGATTATCCCAAGGATACACCTTTACTCCTGAGGTAGTTGTATTGCTTTATGAACCGTAGCGCAACGTTGATTCAAGTTACCTATTTGACTTGAGGTCCACATACAAGAACGAGTATCTTCTCATGCGTGACCCTCCTCTGATGCTGCGAGAATACCGTTTTCCGTTTGTGAATATATAGGCGTAGCTCTCTAGATTAGGCTTTGAGGATAAGTATCTCATATACACTTACAATGTCTTCAGCTATTCTTCTAACTTGAGCATCCCATCGGGGGTTGAAGGCCCTTCCGTTGATCATATTTCTTTTAACGGGCCAAGGTTTTAGGTGGAGAGTGTTTGTATGTTGACGATGGCTAGTGTTTACTAAGTAACTTCTTAGTTAGCTTATGTCTATAGACTCGTTCTAGACATGCTTCGTCTAATGGAATAAACGGTTTGCTAGTTGAATTGAGAGTATCTCGTCGAAGGACCATGTTAGATGAATATTATTTAAGGGGACTAGTGAACTTTATCTTCATAGAGGTAGAGATCAAATATTGTTTGTAAGTATTCAGCTTGAAGGAAGATATACTAAAGTTAGTGATGCGAATGAAGTCTCTTTGATGGGAAGGAGGATGTTGTTGAACATGATTACACATAGTATGATATATCCCGTACTGCGTGGTGAATTATAGGGGAGTATCATAGGAGTTTTCATCTCCATACCTTATATGGGCTACTATTATGGATAGGAGCTTCTCCTTTAACAGGTCCACATCGAATCATAAGCCACTATTCGCTATGCCAGTGATGTAAAACAAATCATTGTTGATTTAGGCTGTCATCGACCGTACAATCTGTGGCACGTATGGTAACAGTAGGAGTATAGAATAACGTGATAATCTTGACAGGCGAACGACCCATCACCACCTTTTTCTTCTTAAGAAGGTAGAATGATGATTTCTCTCGATCCATCCTATAATATGATTTAAGTCTGTTATACGGGGGATCGATGATACGACGGTGGTGAAACTATTGCACGGTACTAGTTATGTTGTGAGGTATGAAGTTGTTTCGACTCGGATCCTGTGGCTATGACTAACACATAGACGTCATGAGGCTCTAAGTGAAACTCTTAAGTAGAAATTGGTCATCATCTGTGAGGCCGGGGAGGATTCCTTAAGGCAAATGCCTACTTAATTATGTAAAATTTGACTTAACGTCGTATCGCGAATATAAAGTAGGTAATGTCTCGGGTAAAGGGGGCCAACGCCGGAGAGACATAAATTCGCCTGAGACAATTGCTTCACCAAAAGCATCGCCACAACAAATCCGATGTCGTTTACTATCGTGGCTAGTTGTTGGGGCTGATGCGATCCGCAATCGTTCTCATATTTCCCCTCTCCATCCCTTACTTAAGCTCTTAAGGGGACATGACGTAGGTACGAATTCGGGCTTGCATCCAGTTTCACCTATCAGGAAGCTGATCGGAACGGGTCCGATCCAAAACTAACAACCAGGCACGTGGGTAATGCCAGCTTGTTGGCGACATCGCATCTCTGTGCTATGTGATAGGTAGAACTCGGCCCGCTGGACTTTACGCCAGCTCCGGCCGGGGCAGCGCGGGTTGCTAACTAAGATTTCCATATATGTACGACGACTATTGTGTCTAGGCTCTAACAATAATATGAGAAGCTGAAAGTCAAAGGTCGGTATAGCGTTCTGGTATTAGGTTCAGGGGTACATCTTCTGTCGATCTTCTGTCGGCATGTGGTGGCTTCAGCTGAAGGAACGATATTAAAGGGGGCTTTTCACCATTTGCTTTCTTGGACGTTACATGGCGGGATCTAAATCGCCTCTATATATTCCTTATATCCCCACCAAGTGAGCGGATTGTATTGATATCCAATCGACTCGGGACCGAGAAGTACATTCTACCGCCATTATTCGCGACGTGAAGAATAGAGTAGAACAACTTCGTGTCTCGTCATATTATTATGTTATGTCCTTGGAATCGTTAATAGAAGGTTCTATCAGGCGATTTTGTTGAGAAATATGAAAGAATATGGTCTCTTTGATTACTACATATTGCCATTGCTGTGGCAAGCAATAGGTAAACGTGGTTTGTCAGGATATTCGGAAGGGGAAGCCGGGCGGCTAGCCACCCCATTGGAGAGGCCGTAATAAGTACCATGGTTTTGAATCCGGCAAAAAGTAGCCCATGATATCAACGCGCATGTCGATGGCCACTACGTATATAAATCACTCTTGCTCTCGGAAAGAAGTGTTATGATATGTAATGTTGTGGTAAAGAGGAAATTCGTACATATTATATCCCCTGATGATCTTCAGGGGATAGAGATGAGTAACCTTGGAAGTCTCCCAGAACATTGATCCAAGTAGGTACCGAAGTCGTGATCAAATCTAGTCCGGATTGGATAGGTGTATGTAGCTGGCCATATTAAAAAAAGCAATATTGATTCTGTGAAGCAAAATAAAAAACATCTGTGCGGAGGTGGGGGATAATAATGATAATAATTCGCCAAGATGATCGCAGACTTGGTGAGAGACGGGAGTGGCATAACCCTGGAATAAATTCAATGCAAAATCAATGGAGGAGATTAAATAACCAATAGAATTCGATTGAGGGGCGGCAAGCGTGGGTGATGGGTGACGGAATAAGGTACCAAGATACCAAAATATTAAAAGAGTTTGGGCTAGGAAGTTGCACATAACAGACATGAAGGCGGTGACGACCTCGACCGCCCTCGGCTTTCCAGTTTAGCGCTCTTTAGCCTCGAGTCCATTGGTTCCGACATGTATTTAAACGTGGAAAAAACACACTACTTGCATATTAAAACCTGGTATACACACATATATATGCATTTATAGATAGATTATATGAAAATATTTAGTGATTCTTTTCCATGATATAAACTCTTCCAAGTTCGCACACGTAGTCAATTCTTTAGACATTCTCAATTAGGGGGCCTACTGATTCGGTTCAAGGTTGTTGTCTCACCTGCTGCACATTCCAATTCCTTCGAGTCGTGTACCCTTGTGGCGCATGCGAATGCTGTGGGTCTATTTCCTTAAAGGCCTTGTCTTTAATATATTCATATTCCATCCGAGGGGGTACATAAGATGATAATAAGTCTAAATAGCGACGAAATAAATCCTCACATCAGAATCAGTTAAGTGCGTAATATCAATGAATGATGGAGGATGTATGTCATATTGAGTCCATTCGAGTCGTTTTCATAGGTATGCAGTTATGAATATAAATGAATTTGCCGTCTATGTGTTTGCCGGGTTGCCCTATTAAGATGTAGACATTCTAAACTCACGTTTTCAGTTGACATCGAATGTTACCTTAAGCGGAAGAGCAGTGTACCCATCCAGGCATAGTCATGAAATTTGAAGTTTAAAAATTTAAAATTCCTTACCAAGTACTGACGTTAACATCAAGAGCAAAATTCACATCTCGACTTGATTTTTAATAGGCATTTGGACAGTGTGCAGGTACGCAAGTGCCTGAACTTGTGCTGAACCTGAACTCTATCGTCTTTAAACTATCGAATTCTGCCAGCGCAAAGTTTTAAGGTGCGTGCTCACTAGACCCTAGCAGCCCTAGCACCAGTAGGCCTGTGACACGCCCACTACAAGTTTCGACCCATTATGGTTTAGCGCAAAAATTACACGATTACACATGGAAAATAGTGGGTATTTCAATCAGTGGGAGGAATATTGAAGGTACCAAAGTACTGCACCAAGCTTGTACTAGGTAGTAGGTACCGAAGTAGATAGAGACCCTTCCACCTTCCACGACCTCAGAGTGTGCCCCGCCATTTTCGGACGGCGCAAAAATAACGAAAGTAACCACTGACAGTCTAAACTTCACATTAATTTTTTACACACCACAATTGGGTGCAGCGCCTTAAGCTGAACCATCATCATCACAAACCGCATTTCTACCGACGACTCACCTCTATTTTCCCTTTTTCGTACTTGTTGGTTTGACCCCGTCGAAACGGGTAACCATATACCGAATCCTAGCCGAGCATCACAACGTCATTACTTCTTGTCTATCAACACGTTAACATAAAAACCAGAACAAGAGATCAACGTCAAAGCTGAGAATCCATCATGAATGCCGAGGCCGTTAGGGCTCGCATCGTTGCCACCCTTTCCCCCGACGCCAATGTACGAAGAGCCGCAGAGCTCGAACTCAAGGCGGTAAGTTTACATTGTTTGCTTTACTACAATGCTATGTTATGTTATGTTATGTTATGCCATGTCATGCCATGCTACGCTTTGCTTTGCAATACCATGCCGTACCGCGTGTTAGGCTACGCAATGCGATGCGATGCGCCTTACCTATATTCCACATTCTATGTTTGACGCGTCTGTTGTTGGGCACGAGTGCTGACAAAACCTTTTCCTGGATATAATAGGCCGAGGGACATGCTGGTTTTACCGATGTCCTGCTCGACGTCTTGACTGCCGAGCCCGATGATTCAGTCCGACTCTCAAGTATGCTAACGCTCCCTTATTCGGACTACGGCTCCATCTTGCTAACACCGTTGATCCTCTAGCTGTCATCTACCTCAAGAATCGGACAAATCGAGGCTGGTCGAAAAGCGACCATTATCCTGACGAAACGCTCATAGTGGAAGATGAAAAACAACGCTTTCGCGATCGCATCCTCCCCATCCTCGCAGCCTCTCGTGGCCCCGTTCGTCAACAGCTCCTACAACTGATTCAGCGCATCTTACACTTTGATTTTCCTGGAAAATGGCCCAGCTTTATGGATGTCACGTTGCAATTACTGCACGCAAATGACGCTCCATCTGTTCTGGCCGGTTTACAGTGCTTGCTGGTCACTTGCCGCGCATACAGATTCAAAGGTCCTCAAGACAGTAGTCGATTGGAGTTTGATAAGATCGTCGAGGCTAGCTTTCCTAGACTCCAACAAGTCTGCAATGAATTGGTCAACCAAGAAAGTGACGAGGCTGGTGAAATGCTGCACATTGCTCTCAAAGCCTACAAGCATGCAACCTGGGTATGTGTGCTGCTCAATAAATATTGCTCATTTGACTTTCGTTTTAACACTTCGCTCTAGCTTGAACTTTCTAGCTTCTTAAAGCAACACGACGTCAATATCGCATGGTGTACAATCTTCCTTCATACTGTTTCAAAAGCGATACCTGCGTCAGCCATGCTTGATGATATCGATGAGAGAGAGCGTCATCACTGGTGGAAGGCCAAGAAGTGGGCCTACTTCAACCTCAACAGGCTTTGGATTAGGTTGGTTTCACGTACCTATGGAACTAGGAGTATTTCTACAAGATTGCTAACAAAGAAATTATTAGACACGGTAATCCAGCATCTGTCACGTCTAAGAGCGATGAGTCAACCAGATTTTGCAAGGAATTTGAGAATACCATTGCGCCAGAAATACTAAAACACTACCTACAGGAGATAGAGAAGTGGGTTTCTAAGACAGCTTGGCTCAGCAAGCCGTGCTTATCATACACTCTCGTTTTCCTAGACGAGTGCTGTCGTCCGAAGTCCATGTGGAATTTGATGCAGCCTCATCTTACGAATCTGGTTACTCACTTGGTCTTCCCCGTCATGTGTCTTAGTGAGGAGGATGTGGAAAAATTCGAAGACGAGCCTGAAGAGTATCTTCATCGAAAGTTGAATTTCTATGAAGAGGTCTCGGCCCCTGATGTTGCTGCAACTAATTTCCTCGTCACCTTAACCAAGTCCCGCAGGAAGCAGACGTTCGATATCTTACAGTTCGTCAACGGAGTTGTGAACGAGTATGAGCAGGCGCCCGACGACAAGAAGAACCACATCGCGAAGGAGGGTGCGTTGAGGATGATCGGCACACTAGCCCCTGTTCTCCTAGGCAAGAAGAGCCCGGTTGCTGACCAGATCGAATATTTCCTCGTTCGATACGTCTTCCCCGATTTCAAGAGCCCTCTAGGTTATCTCCGAGCGCGAGCGTGCGACACCATTGAGAAGTTTGAGCAACTCAACTTCAAGCATGAGAACAACTTGCTCATAATCTATCGGCACATTCTAGACTGCATGGCCGATTCCGATCTGCCTGTCAGAGTCACGGCAGCGCTGGCTTTACAGCCCCTGATCCGGCATGATCCTATCCGTGCCAACATGCAACAAAGCATTCCTACTATTATGCAACAATTATTGAAGTTGGCTAATGAGTGCGATATCGACGCACTAGCTAACGTCATGGAAGATTTTGTTGAAGTTTTTGCTGCTGAACTTACACCCTTTGCGGTAGCTCTTAGCGAGCAGCTTCGGGACACCTATCTTCGGATTATTCGTGAATTGCTTGAAAAGAACGACGCTCGCAATAATAACGATGATGACTTTGGTGATTATCTAGACGATAAGAGCATAACAGCCTTGGGTGTCCTGCAGACCATCGGTACCCTCATTCTGACTCTAGAGAGCACTCCGGACGTATTATTGCACATCGAAGCCGTCCTAATGCCTGTTATTCAGGTCACTTTGGAGAACAAATTATACGGTGAGGCTCACGACTTCTTCCCTATAACACGAATTTACTTGGCTAACATACAAATCTAGATCTCTACAATGAAGTCTTCGAGATTATCGATAGCTGTACATTTGCCGCCAAGAGCATCTCGCCCACTATGTGGCAAGCCTTCGAACTCATACACGCCACCTTTAAATCCGGCGCTGAGCTCTATCTAGAGGACATGCTTCCAGCTCTAGACAACTTCGTGCAATATGGTGCCAGCCAGCTAGTCCAGAAGCCTGAATACGTCCAAGCCTTGTACGGGATGGTTCAGGATATGTTTCAAGATCAGAAGGTTGGTGGAGTCGACCGCATCTGCGCTTGCAAACTGGCGGAAGCTATGATGTTAAGTCTTCGCAACAATATCGACCAATCCGTTACCGGGTTCATCGCGATGGCCATGATGGTTCTTAGTGGCCACGATGTCAAGGTTAAATCATACAAGATTCACCTCATGGAGATGGTTATAAATGCCATCTACTACAACCCGATGCTGACTCTAGCTGTTCTGGAAAGTAAGGGATGGACAAATAAGTTTTTCAGCCTGTGGTTTATGAACATGGACTATTTTAGTCGCGTGCACGACAAGAAGCTCTGCATTGTGGCCATCGTCTCTCTGCTAAGCCTTAACGCAGACCAGATCCCTGTCAGCGTTAGCACCGGCTGGCCGAGACTCCTGCAAGGAATTACGGGTTTGTTCAAGACACTGCCCAATGCCCTAAAGAACCGCGAGGAAGCTTTGAAAGATGACTTCACTTACGATTCGAACAATTACGACTACGATGACGATGATGAATGGGCTGATGAAGACACCAACTGGAATGCGGAAGAAGGGGCGGAGGGCGAGCAAAACGAAGCTCGGGACGAGAGTACAGCATACCTCGAATTCCTCAATGAGGAAGCCGCCAAGTTCAGCCAGATCGAAAACCAGTACAAAGATCAAGGAGAAGAGTCTGAAGACGATCTTGGCGAAGACAGCGTGTTACTCGAATCACCCCTCGACAAGATTGAACCTTACCAACTTTTCCGAACAGTTCTCATGAGTAAGTGTCTTCGAACCGTCGCTCTTTTTTCTTTTTCTTTTTTTTAGCTACTAACCTAATACCACGTAGAAATGCAACAAGAGAACCCGCAACTTTACACGAACCTCACCTCGAACCTTTCAGCCGATGAGCAAGGGGTTATTCAGACAGCTATGCATCAAGCAGAAGCTCATGCCCAAGCAGCTTTACAGCTGGCAGCCCAGGCTGCGCAAAATCCCCAAGGGGCTCCCGGTGCTTCTAACGGTGGCGCTATATAGAATTAGCTGTCTCGTAAACACCGGGAAGTCCTGGGGTGGCCTTAAATATCGTTATAGAGATCATGCAAGGTACTCGGCACTTTAAGTACGGTGTCGAAGACGCAGTGCCAGCTCTTTCGCAATCGTCTAGCCATGTAGGCAAGACAGCAATTATGATGGGTAGTTGAAAATTGCGGACTTGGTAATCCCAAAAACTGTTTCTATGACGGGCGGCATGTTTGGGTATGTCATAGGTGTAATAGGAGTCAGTCCTCATACCATTATTCAGCAGATGGGAAGGTGAAGGAATCGTCGCCAGGTAGGTAGGTCACAACACCCCCATGCACACGTTGCGAAGGAAAGGAAAGGAAATTCGGGGAGGATATATCCGGAGGTCGATGGCGGGCCGAGGATGGATCGAAGCTTAGAGGCGATCGTATCCCAGAACCACCAAAAAGATTTTAGATCGTGCAAACACAACACACCCCCCCATCCCCATCCCCATCAGCACCCCCCTTACCCCCTTCACCCAGACAGACACCCCAAATTTGATAGCATCGTGTTATTTCCATGCTTTCGCTTCTCGGGCCCCGTGCGTGATTAGGTTATGACTTGCCAGCGACGGCTTCGTCGATGCGGTTAGAAACTAATGTCACGTGATACTGACCATCCCTCTTTTTGGATAGCAATAATTCCTAACTAGATCTAAGGTATAGATAAAAGTATTTACATTTTCGGAAATCCCACTTGATGTATCGATATGGACCTTGAATTCCAGTGGATTTATCTATCTCTCTATTGTAACCACGAAGCGTTCCTGGTTCATTGCATGTCACCGGACTCCCCAGGATCAATCATACTATAAGTTGTAAGGTTTTCTTTGGGTGACTGCATAGGTAATTAGCAGGAGATTGACGGATTCTTGAGTAATAATTGCCTATTCATCTATCTTATGTTTGGTGATTCGAGCTCGAAAGGGATGTGAGCGAAGAGCTAGCAAACTTTTGGGGGAACACTCGGTAATCTTAACTCCATATGTAGACCTACGAAATAAAGCAAAAAGAAAGCCATTTTACCTAACTTCTACATACCTAGGCATAGCTAGTAGCTAGACGATGTCACATGCAGTAGCAGTAGGGTTGGTGGGAGGAATCGGAACTAGGTTAGCCAATTGCAGGTCTTACCACAAGCCCTAACAGCCAAATGAGGAAAGTTCATATTTCGCACGACGGAGTAAATTCCGTCAATGCGCTCGCTTTGTCATTAGATGGGGACGGATATCTGCATGGCGACCCAACTTGCCGCCTGAGCATGGATTCTTTGAAAAAAGAGGTCGCCGTTCGTACCCCACCTAACTGGCTTGTGGGATCGGAGTAGAAAAAAAGGAATGATGCATCAGCCGCGAATCGAACGCGGGGCCCATCGATGGCAACGATGGATTTTACCACTAAACCACTGATGCCTTCTGTTAAGCCCAGTTGTGGGTATGGGGTGAAAGCGGATGTTAGTTAATCCGCTTATGAATATCTTCTGGATATTGCAGACTATATCGGATAGAGTTTTAAAGCTAAGTGGCTATCTCCACTAAACAAAAGGTTGGTGTAATACGGAGTTCAGATGGAAGTATCAGCCACTGGAGATTCTGGTTGGACGCCTAGAAATGCCTATGGTGTTGATGAGAAAACTCTGCTTCGAGATTGACAACGGAATAATATGGATGATACAAGTGTTGGTCGATGTTGTGAGTCATGGGTGTGACGTATCTGTTATATTTCTCGATACTTGAGATATAGAAAAACGAGTAGCATACCCATATCCATCCATGGATGGATGTTATTTACCTACTAGATACCTACTGGGTACCTACAGAGTACATGGGTAGTATAATTGAAACAGTTGTCTAAGACATGCATGGCAAAAGTCGACTTTGTTCCCGTTATATGACCGCCAGGTAATGAGTATAGGTAAGCATGGATATGATATGATGCCCTCATTGAGTATAACCAAGGGTCTTCTCCCAACTCCCGTCTTTGCAGGCGACAATGGTTCATGTTGATTAACGGGTACGTACAGTGTCACACAGTGCGTTTGGGATCTACGTCATGCATTGCAACGCTCTCTCCGTTTGAGAATACATATCTCGTCGCTTCCAATAGCAGCAAAGTCAACTTAAAGAAAGTTACACCTTAACCCCCGCATTGAAATGCAAGTTAGCGCAGCTGCCAAAGACGGATATCGGCACTGTATAGTAAGTAAGAACCATACACCTTCGGTAGAGACTGCAGGTGCGTTGCCATCGTAGCACCATCCTGCAGCTGGTCAGAACCTTCCGAGCTGCCTAGGAGGGTAAGTGCTGTGCGTTTTCGTACCTAACATGAGATCGTCCCTTCGATATGGGACCTTATTCCTCAGGTGATGCTTAGGTGACCCCTTACATGTCAATCGCTAATTGGAATGGATCCGATTCTTTGTTTTGTGCTCCTCACGAAAACAGACCCAAGAAATTGCCGTTGACATTGTGAACTCATTGACCATCATCAACAAGAGATTCTCAAAACACCGAAAAAGACAATATGAAGTCCATTCTAGCTCTAGTAGCAACAGTATTTCTGGCTGTCACAGAGATTGGGGTCGCTGCAACTGTAAGTTACTAGATCATTCAAGGCTACTTACCAAGATAGCTATTGGGCTAACCTAGATCAAGAATACAAACCTCGAAGCCCGCTCGCTTTCTCTGACATCGGCAGATGTACCGACATTCAGTTCAACGACCTATTACACCCCAACTTTGACCTCATCGAGCTTCTCATATACGTCGTCCGGTTCAGACTCCGCAACGGCGTCTTCGTCTGGATCTGGCAGTATTTCCTCTACCTCGTTCTCGGCGCCGACGATTTCTGCCACTCCGTTTGCAAACGTCACATCTGCTGGACCTGCGACGCAGACCCTTGGTGGGATTACACATTCTGCAACAATCAGTGGTTCCCTGGCGGAAAGCCTGAGTGCATCATCAACGTCGAAATCCAGTACTGCTGCATCATCTGCCAAACCTGTACTTCCTGTGGTTGCTGTGATGGCTGGTATACTTGGTATTTTAGTCACGTCGTGAACTAGTTGGGATATGAAGATGTTGGCTTGGAAGAAGCACTGATTCTTGGGCTTTGGAGTTATTAGAGACAATTGTTATGTTTGTCCGGGGTTACTGTATTGCCGAGAATGTTTATGAACCGGAGATTTTGGAGCAAGGACCTGGATATTGATACCTAGATCGGAGGACTTGCTATGGGAAGATGTGTATTTCGTACGGGCGAGAATATGCTTGCTAGACCCGACAGGGCATCGCATCATGGGTTAAGGATTTGGATGTAATCCTATAGTAATCGTAATAAAAAAAGTTGACATATTAATATGATTCTTGTTTATGAAGAATGTTTGACAATTCGAGATGATCTCGGCGGACAGTGAGAGATGGATATACATACTAGGTATCGGACCAATCAGGTACGCTTAGTCATTGATGTGGCTGGCACGTTCCGAGGTCAATACCGTGGACGTAGTACGAACTTTCTGGTCCCCACATAAGCTTTCTATGTTCACATTTCAACAACTAATTTCTGTTGCGCTTCACTTCTTCCCGTTCTTTCGCCATATTCCATAACCGCGAACCCTGCAATTACAGTCGACACATTATCCGGACAAGATGGATGTCAAAATGGAAGATTCCCCTCCTGCTATCCCGGCCAACGATGAACCTAAATATGGTGGATTTAGTCGCTTTGAGATTGAGCTCGAGGTACGCCTCTACTCTTATTCCCAAGATATTTCCCCTCGCTTCCTTTACCTTTGTTTTACGTAGACTATAGCACATCTACTAACTAGTTCTCTATTTTAGTTCGTCCAAGCCCTAGCGAATCCCTCCTACCTAAACCACCTTGCGTCGCAAAAGCTCCTCAACGAACCTGCCTTTGTCGCCTACCTGTCCTATCTGCGATACTGGTCGCGCCCACCGTACATCAAGTACCTGAACTACCCAGGTCCGACGCTGAAGCATCTAGAGCTGCTACAGAAAGAACGCTTCCGCCAGGACATCATCAGTCCCGAGCTAGAGCAGGCTTTGATTCAGGAGGGGGCCAAGGCGTCAGTAGACTGGCACAAGGGTGATTAGGAAGCCCAATGTTATGGTTCGCAGACACTGCCTGTCCGGTTTCGATTCAACTATTCGGAACCTGAGCAGCCTAGCCCTATGCCTTCACATACACTTTCGCCAGGGTCGGAAAGAAATACCCCACCAGGTATGACTCCATGGTGAAATCATTTAGTGTCGTCACCTTTACAACGAATCCAGGAACAACGCGAATACTCTTATTTTCGAGCTCTGTCGTGTGTACGGGGTTAACAAGGGGACTGACAAATAATAATTACGCATGAACAAAGCACCGTTGACGAACGTGTGAGGAGGATTTGAGAGTCAGAAGCAACTTGGGTATCATCATTATTGGGAAGTTGGCTAAACTGGGACGCAATATGAACAACATGGACGAAAACCTCACAACTCCATCCCAACGCCATCAGAAAATTCACAAAATGCCATCCAGTGGAATATTTACCACTTATGCCAACTCCTTACTATCACGCCTAATTTTCTCTCCATCGGTGGCCGCAAGTCATGCACTATGTCGCAGTTAGCAGCTAGTCGTATCACAATAACCGGATAACCAGCACCCACCTTGAAGAAACTTGTCATAGGCTCGTCGGCACTACGAATTTGGATCTGGTAGAAGGCGGCCTCCTTGCCGGTGCACGTAGAGTTGTTGCATTGCACCTTGGTCTTGTCGGCATTATCCCATGCGCCGTCACCACCGAAGACATCTTCGCGCTCCTTCTTCTTGAAGTGTTTTCTTGCGAAGAAGCTTTCGCTGTTGATAGCGTGTTGGTATGGACAGGTTCGACATTCGAGGCGATTGCGACCGGAGTCTGGAGATACAGAGACCGTTAGGATGTTTGCGCACTCGGGGCAGACTGTGTACTTTTAGTTAGTTTTTGCTTTTGCGTCCTAGGTATGCGATGGAAGGGCTTAGAGGACATACAGGCAAGCATGGTGGCTTAATTAACAACTTCTTGTTATCCGGACTATTCTCTCTGCTGTATAATTTGGATTCGATGTGAAATGCCTGTGACTCGCTTGATGAAGTTGCTTGGTATAAATTTGATAGGTGAGTCGGAGATAGGTGACTGAAAGAATGGATGGGTTCTAAATTTCTGCGGGACTCACCACTAAAAGCAGGGATGTTACAGTTACTGTATGGTCAATGCATGCTACGCTAATCGAAAATCATCCCGCCGGAATTCGCTAAAATCATTGCTCCGTAGGACCCCGCGGTACCCATGGCGGCCATGGTCAGCATAAACAGACGCGTGGGTTGGTGGGGTTTCAGCGCTAAACCTGGGATGTCACCACAGGGCTGTTACAACTGTCACAGCCGTCACAGCCTCCTTTCTTTAGCTTTTCTTAGCTGGTTAGCGCTTGAACTGCATCCATGCATTGATTAGGCGCCGTCTAAAGCCACACCGATGACGACTAATCTACCTGAATTACATACGCAGTTGATGAGTCCCGGCCTCTCCTTGTGCTGAATTTTACATTTTATAATCTGGCCTTTTTCCGCTGTCCCAGCTGTGGAGGCGGTATACGGACTTCCTTCCTTGACCGGTTTCCTAGGCTCCGAAATCCGAAATACGAACGATAGACAACAAACAGCAATAACCGCCCGTTCCCCCCTACAATTGAATAGAGAAGGACTCGGACAGGATATTCACCATGGCGGACGACCAGGTTCATGAAGTAAGACTTATTCACCTTGAGTATTCGTACCTGTAAACTAAAAGCACTCAACAGGGTGCCTCTGTCAAAGAGCAGCTGATCGAAGCCTGCCGCCGAAACAACGTTGACCTTTTGAACGAGATCATCTCGAACTGCAAGAATGACGACGAGATAACCGACCTCATGAACAATACCACCACCATCATGGGAAATCATCTATACCACGAAGCCGCGCTTCAGGGGAACTGTATTTCCCCCGCTCTTTTCCCCTCCTCACCTACCCATACCGCTACGCCGTGTCTATACACTTCCCCGGTCACCTATACCCTGATGATATACTCTCCTCTACCACATCACACCACAGCCAACCCTCTTAAAACTTCTCCTTTTATCTTTTCTAAAACTAAGCTAACTTCTCCTCTAAACATAGACGAAATAATCGACACCCTCCTCGACCAACCCAACTTCGAATGCGACCCCCTCTCGCGCGCCGAAGGCGACACGCCCCTGCACAGCGCCATCCGGTGGATCAACAGCGAGCCCCCAGCCCAACGCGCCTTCGGCAACGCGCTCATAACAATGATGCTCGAAGCCGGGTCCAGCACGCGCGTGCGCAACAAAGCCAAGCTCACCGCGTCCCAGCTCGTCGACCCCCGCAACACGGGCCTCCGCGACTTGATCCGCGAACACGAGTACACGGAGCTAAACGCGGGCGATTTTATTGATGCGGCGAAGAGGGATAAGGATATTGGCAAGAAACCGGTGGCGTCGAGTAAGGGTGTGGCTGGGGATGTGGGGAGTGATGATGATGATGATGATGATGCGGAGTTCTCCGGGAGTGATGAGGAGGAACGGGCGGAGTGGGAGAGACGACGGAAGAATAAGGGGCGGTGAAGGGGCGGTGAAAAAGGGGGGATACATTATACGGGGAAGGGGGAAGGGGAGGGACGGGTATATAGACCTGTTTCGAGAGATAGGTTTGGCGGCTACCCAGGGAGCTATATCGAGCCGTGCAGGCGTCGTTTAATCAACACATAGAAGCATATCATACATTACATGGCCGCTTTTGTCTCGACTGGGGGTGTATGCTTGGGTATCGACATTTTATACCTAATATCCGTGAAGACATTAACCATACCCGTGTTGCAGGATTTCTGGACCTCGTTATTGGGACTTGGTCTCCCTTTAACATTACCCCTTTTCGAAACCGAGTCATCACAAAGAACAACTCGCAATGAAGTGTTGAGAAGACCTGATCTCCTAGTTTAGTCATACAAATTCACAACACGCTACGAACTCAGGCTAATAAAATTCACAGGGAATAATCTTAAAGATGGAAAAGGCAAATACATCGCATGGTATTCATCGTTCGAACGCAACGAAGCTGCCTATTGGAAGCTATAGATACAGCAATATTCACACCCGTTTGAAAACCAGTGTATAACATCTACACCAGCCATATTCGAGTATGAACAACCGAACGCCGTTTTCCCGCCCCCAGTAACTGCGAAGTTCTCCCCCATACAAGCTCTATGCATTTACCGTACCCGCCACCCTTCCATAACGCCAGGCCCATATGGACACATTCCATATATTCCCAGATCCATTCGATGAAAAACAGTTTGAATAAAGCAAGGTGATAGAATCGAAATCGCTGATCGCCGACATGTGAACTGTAAATGGAGTTCATTGTTCGATAGAGCCAGTCTCGTTGAGGTAGATTTGAGCAAATGATTGGAGATTTCAATACGCCGTGAAGACCTGCATGCCTATGGCAAGTCGTAGATAGAGCTGAGTATTGTCTCAGGGCTCTGGAGTGCTTGATGAGGCCCGAGTCTCAATATCGCCAGACTTGGTTTGGTCGTCTGTAGGAATGCTCTGTTGGACTTGGGCGGTTGTGCTGTCCGTGGTAGTCGTGGGGCACTCAACGGCGTCCCCAGTCTTCGACTCAAACCTATCGCTGTGTCCATTGTAATTGATTGAAGCCCATTCCTTAGAGAGCTGACCATCGATTTTAGCCCGCTCTCGCTGAGCCTTGTCCGCGATGCTTTCTGGTCGAATATGACGGCAGGTCATAGCAAACCGATGCTTTCCGAGATTAGAAACCTCGTGCTGTCGCTAGACATTAGCGTCATACTTTAGAATCCCGAAGAGTGAGCGATAGGTACATACTAGATAGAATTTCTGGATTCCTGCGCCATGCATAACAAGCATGTCTCCATGCTTGAGTACAAGTGACAAAACGAACTTTCCCTTGGCGCCAACATTTACCCCCTTTTTGGCGGAGAATTTCATCAAAGATGCAGATCCAAGAGATAACGTAGCCACTGTAGGACCTAACTCCTTCTCTCCATCATCATGTGCCTAAGGTATATGTTAGACATGTCGGAGAGAATTGGAGCAGAATAGGGGCATGTACGCTGATTTTCGAGCCTTCGAAATACCCCAAGGCAAGAAGCTCATTAAATTTCTCAAATTCGTCCGGGATCGCATCGTCATCGACCTTTAAGTTCTCATCCTTTATGAACTTCGTTGAGGCTGCTACAGACGCCTCACCTGCCCAAGTTAGGCGAAGAAGGGTTTCCACGATAGGAGGCTGGGCCCCTGGCAGGCCCATTGTTGTTTTTACAACGACACCGAACTTGTAGGGAGCGCCCTTTGGTATTGTTAGCTTATGCAGGAGACTTTTAGCTTTGTAAAGGGGCTCACATAGTTTGCGCTGAAATGCGATGTCAGTTCTTCGATTCGGGAACCTAGATTCGTTAGCATCACCTTGTTACAAAATCACCATCTTGCATCTTAATACCTGCAGCCCGAGCACCTCGTCTTTCTAATCCAAGGTCTTGATCTTGGAATCGGGTATACAGATCATTAATACCACCTGATCTTGTAAACACCCCTTCCCTAGGTCGAATTACTGTGATTGTTCCGAGGAAGCCTTTTTTCTCATCTGGAAGAAAGTAGGTGGTGAATATGTGGTTGCTGGTAGTAACTTGTGGCATCCTTTTGACACACTTGTCAAAGGAGTCCTTGTTGCTCTTAGACCCGTTTCCATCGGTGAAGTCTATCGTGTGAAACTTCTTTAGGGGGATGCGATATGAGAATTCACAAAGAGGGTTCTCGCAGAACCAACCAACCCATTTCATTCGTCTTATACAGCATCCGCATCTGGGACAGACAATACCAGCCTTAAACTCCTTCTCGCTGCCAAAGGTTTTGTCTGTTATTTGAGGTAGAGGCGGCACAAGAGGACACAGATTGTCGCCGAGGAAAGGGGTTCTTTCCTTCAAGAAGTCCTCGTTGTACTCCAATTCGGCGGGATTAAGGTCGGTAGAATCCTTGTTCCGGGGAAAGCAAAAGAATTGCTTGCAATCTTTGTGCAAGCATGTCCAACCTTGCTTGTATATCACTTTGCTGGGATTTCTACAAGCAAGGCAGTAGGCAAGTGCGCAGACATGATGTCCAACTTCGACCTCACCTATGCTCTCTTCATTTGCGTCCTTCGGTGTCCACCAGGATCTGGACTTCAGATTGACTTTTTCTAGTCTGATCCTGTATATTTTAACGAGTTTACCACCATGCCCATGGACCTTCTCAGACCATATGTCTGTAACCTGGAAATGATCCAGGACGTTATACTCATGTGGAGGTTTGACTGGGAATAATGGATTTCCAGAATCTAAGACTTGTTAAGCCATGCTTTTTCTTATAGGTATCTAGTATGTGTTTTATTCATTTGTACTCACCAGCGATCACTACGAGGGAACGGCGCGGCTTCTTCATAATCGCGGAAAAGGCTTGGATACGGAAGTTGTCTTCCTGGTCCTTCTCTCTAACCATCTGGCGCGTCGATTTGTCTTCGACGTGTCCGCCTCCGCTATTTACAGCGTTAACCCAGTGCGACTTTGTAGGTTTTATTATATACTTACGGCGATGTGATAATCACTTCACTTTCAAAGCGATCACGAATTTCCACCTTTGCACCGATAAGAAAGCCTTTTGCGACTTTCTTATTAGAATGCAGGCCACTTTGGTGCGCCCTAAAATAGGGCAAGGCATCTGCTATGGCAGCACGCTTCTCTGCCCAGACAGGAGGCATTCCGCTTGGTTCTGGCTTGTCCTTGTTTCCATCATCTGTAATTGAGTTAGTGACGGTCTGGTTAATATTTCAAGCGCGGTTGATTCTAAGATAGATTAACTGACCTTTTGGGGTGTTGTCCAGACGGCGTCGTTTCTGAGCACCGTCTTCATGCCCGGCTTCGCGCTTGCGTTTATTCTTTGTGGAGCCACTGCCAGCGACCGGTTCATCTGCAGACGGTGTCTGCTCTTGGGTGAAATTCTTGGCGATTGACAAGAACCTGGTTATAGGGCCATGGCTCCTCGTTTGCATGCTTTGAGACATTCTGTCGGTTTCCTCGGGAGAAAAACGCCTTATCTAAACATGCCTGTATCAGATATCACACTCTCGAATTTAAAGGATAATGAAAATGGGTCATTATCGCCGATAAAAGGGGGCAAGGTCGGCGACAAAGTTTTCTAGCTAGATTCGATTTGAGATGTTGTTTTGAATGGAGTAAAGGCAATTTTTACCAAAGGCCTCAAAATAATAAATGATGAAGAGGTATAATTGATGCGACGAGTGAGGTAAGGAATACGTTGAATGTTATACTTACTAGGTATTTGCTTAACTATCTCTTCTTAGTTGGTGATTCTTAACGAAGAGATACCGACTAATCAGTACATCAAGTTATTACTAGCGTGAGTAATAGATAATCTAGAAGAGGGGAAACCTAATGTCCGTGTTAGTGGTAGATAATACGAAGACAGGTTACTAAGATCTAATCAGGAGCAGATGATTAAATGAGAAGGAAAAATGGGATGGATATTAACAGTATAGGTGGGTAAATAGAATATATCTTCAGGAAAGGAAAGGTGAAGACGAAGAGGTAGGGGAATATGGGAGGTAAGAAGGTTAGATCGGCTTGTACTTAAAGCTCAAATACTTCGAAGACCATCGAGGTTGTAATGATAGATGATAGGGCTCCAAGTTAAAATTGGATGTTTGAGAGGTGTTTTTTTTTTTTTTTTGGGGGGGGGGGGGGGGGGGGGGGGGGGAAATTACAAAAACAATTTGTACGAATGGTTGAAAAATAAAAATAGTGGATTTTTTTTTGGAAGTGTTTTGTGTGTTTTTTTTTGTTGGGGGTTTGGG